AAAGAAGCGCTTACGTTGAAGAAGGTAGAGAGGGCGGAGACGGAGAAGAGGATTCTGAAGATGCTGGACCATCCATTCCTTCCTACTCTCTATGCAGAATTGGAAGCTTCGCATTACGCTTGCGTGGTCATGGAGTTCTGCTCTTGTAACTGAATGAAGTAATAGCAGCTCGCCGACTGAATGAAGTGTAGCCCGGTGCGTCGACGGCTGGTATTACGTTGGGTAACTGAATGAAGTGTAGCCAAATATCATACACATAAGAATAATGTTGGAGAATACCTGGTCAAGGTGAACTGACCGGAGCGGTCGCCGGTGCCGGAGAAGGAGAACTCGGGTGAGGGGAGAAGAACGGGGTTCAGGGGACCGACAGCTCAAGCACGCGGGAATGTTTGACTCGGTTTTGGGGGTTAACGGGACGAAATAACGGCCATCCCGTCAGCCCGCACGCGGGACAAGCTAATTGCGTGCAAAGGGACAGATGGCGGACGCTCGCCGTGTGGGGCGAGAGCAGGTGGGGCGCAGATTTGAGCTTAAGACGAGCCTTCTCTTCGGGGGTTTTATTTATTTTTTTTTTTGAGAAAAAAATTGTAGTGTGTTTGTTCACATCCCACCAACCGTCATAGCCTACCAACAGGGTTTGGTCACAGCCCAAGTCTACAACTATGCATTTTGTGTGGTTGCAGGTATTGCCGTGTCATATTCTACTTGAAATCTTTATTAAGCTGATGCTATCACTCACTATGAAAAAGAGCTTTTAGGCGGTGGGTAGGATATCGAAGTCTTAAATTTTGTTCTGAAAGATTCATGAATCACAGTAAGAAGAGTGGATATACTTTAATTTGCTTTGCCTTGCCTATGGATTCGGTGAGCTCAATAGGAATATTTTGTCTCTTTCATTGATTCATGTTTCTGACGATTCATTTTACCATTGGTTCTTATTTTTAATTCAGTGTAGAAAATTACAGCGTAACATCTGGTTTTTTTCTTGGTCATACTAAGTTTTTACTTATCTCATGTTAAGGGAGTCTGGATTATCTATCACGAATGAATATCCTGTGTGTTCAATAGAGGTTTAGATGGGATCTGATGTAACCGTTTTTGGTCACGTACCATTTTTTGTGATGTATAAAATTTTTGGCCAAGTATCTCATTGTTTGAGTCGGTGGTGACGTGCCTTGGTGATGAGCTACTTGGTGGCGAACTCCCTGGGGGAGTACTTGGTGACGAACTGCTTGGTGGCGAACTACCCAGTGGCGAGCTCCTTGGTGGAGAGCTACTTGGTGACGAACTACCGGGTGGCGAACTGCTTGGTGGTACTCCCTGGTGGCGAACTGCCTGGGGGTGAACTGCCTGGTGGCGAACGCCCTGGTGGCGAACTGCCTGATGGCGAACTGTCCGGTGACGAGCTGCCTGGTGGCGAACTGCCTGGTAGTGCTCCCTTGTGGCGAACTGCCTGGTGGCGAGCTACCTGGTGGCGAACTGCCTGGGGGCGAACTGCCTGGTGGCGAACTGCCTAGTGGCGAACTGCCTGGGGGCGAACTGCCTGGTGGCGAGCTACCTGGTGGCAAACTGCCTGGGGGTGAACTGCCTGGTGGCGAACTGCCTAGTGGCGAGCTACCTGGTGGCGAATTGCCTGGGGCGAACTGCTTGGTGGCGAACTGCCTGATGGCGAACTCGTCACTTGACTTGCTCCTAGGCGGTCTGCAACTCAGAGGATGGTGGAGCTCCTTGGTGCAGCGCAACCCGACTACCCTCCGCGTGAGGTGATTTTCTCTCCTTTGTAGACGGCGGGAGCTGAGGGACCTGCGAGAACTGAA